AAATACCCAAAATAGAACTAATAGAAAACACACCAAGCAGCCTAGGGAAACTTAGAGGAGAACCCAAAAAAGTAGAAGAGCTTCCAGGTCATAGGAATATGACAGTTCATAAGGAAAAGGCAAAAGCAGGAGAAAACTTTTTTAGGAGGTTTTTAGGAGGTTTCAGGAGAGTTTTCAAAACATCAAAAGTAAAACCAGAAGATCTAAAGAGATTCAAACTGATGGAGAATGCTAGACCTAAAACTGATACTGATGAAAAAACAAAAGTTAGTGATTCAGTTAGTGAAATAACATCTCACACACAATGAAATGAAAAGAAGGCACCAAAGGTCTTAAAAGAAATGAAATTGAAAAAAAGAATTGAGAATAAAGGAATGATGGTGTTTCGTTCTAGGAATAAAAAGGAAATATTTCCTAGGCAGTCAGATATGACATTCTGAAATAGTGAAAAGGAACCTTTTAAGAATTTTCCAGGTTTGTTAAAGAGTCAAAAGGCAATACTGCACCCTAGAAACAGAAATAAACCTATGGAGCAAGTAAATTTGAGTTTGAGTGAAATCAATGAGTTACACACAGAAAATGAACAAAAAAGTATCAAAAATTTGCAGGGGAAGACCATTGTGACTGAAGATGGACTGGCTTCAAGAAAGAGAAGCAAGTTAAATTTGAAAAAGAAGATATGCATAGAGAGTAAGGAAAAGATACCACCTAAGAGTTTCACAGTTCATGAAAAGGTGGAATGTTTAACATCTAGCAACATACTTAAGTCTGCTAAGGAACCACAAGAGCCCAATTTAGGTTTACCGACTGAACTATGTAAGACAGAGAATGAGGAGAAGAAACTTAAAGATGCAAGTGCCAATATAGGGATGATGACTTCGAAAACCAGAGGCAAAAATAAAGTAGATACATTGTCCAAGGAAACAAAGAAACTGCACAAGAGCTTCCCGGAGAAGTTTATGTCATCAAGATCACATAAAAAGGAAACAGAAACTCAAGAGAGGATATATATGGAGTGTCTAGGGAAGAGTCTCCTGGAGAAGAATGCAGTGAAAGTCCATGTCACAGGTCTTGACCATCTAGAAGTAGGGGCATTAGATTACTCCATGCTGCCAGGGTGGCACCTGAAACAAAGGTAGAAGAGCCAAAGAAGCCTGCGAAAGTTCGTAAGACTGGATTAAAGTCTAGTGGCAAAAAGAAAAAGAATAGAGGCCTGAAAGGATCTAATGCTGTATTAACATCTAGGAACATAGAAAAGGATGGCAAATGCACAGGTATTTGCCCGGATATCTTTCAAAGTTCATTGGTACCTCAAGGAATTTTATGTTTAACTAGAAACAGAAACAAACAACCTCAAGACATTCATCGGATACCTAGTCTAAAAAAGATCATTGAAAAGCAGCTTCCAAGCCTGGAAAAAAAGCCCAGGATAGAGTGCAAGAATCCTTTAGAATTGGAAGCCGAAATGGAACTGACGAAGAAATCTATAGTACTCCTTTGCTGAGGGCCATGGAGATAGCTTGCGCTGAGAACAAAAATAGAGCTATGATTGAACACCAGTTACATTGAAGGTCTACTCAGAAGAAGCAGACACAATGCAGAATAGATAGGATTTAATCTTTTGTCAAAGGACATCTTACCTTTGGGTAAGGTTGGAAAAGCAACTGTTCTCCAGATTCTTCCTAACAACGAGAAAGCAGGCAATACAGATCTGCAAAGATCTGCCAATCTTAGCAAACATGACCCCTCCACCACAGCAGGAGAATCAACCCCAGAAAAAGTCTCAAATTGGAAGAAAACTTTTTACACTACTCTTTTCAGAAAGAGAATAAAATCAAAGACACCTAGCAGTATACTGTTCGAGCCAATTGATGTTGGAAAGTATAGCCCAGAGAGTCGTCTCCTAAAATCTGTCCCACCGGTCGGTGACAATTTAAAAGAAATCCATTCAGAGCCTTCTTTGCTTACAGAACCCAGCAGCAGTGCTGTGTTAGAAAATAACAAAAACCAGACTCAAGAAAAGGTCACTGAGGAACCCATAAAATTAAGTAATGACCAGGAGTTTTTGAACTCATGGAAAACAGGAAAACACAACTTAAGCAGACCAGACCAGCTACCAGGAGTTCAAAAGAGGTATGATGTCACATTTTATGATGTTTCTTTTTAATGGGCATATCACATGTTTTGCTAAATTTCTCAATGGTTGAAGTTCAGCTCTCAGTATTATATAAGATAATCTAAAAAGCATTTACATGACTTTGGAATGAAGTGATGTGTGTTTGCTCTCTAAGGCAATTTAAATAAAATATAATGCGAAACCCTTTTTTCTATACCAATCTTTACCTTATTCTGTGTTGAGAACACATATATGGTCAACTTTTCCAGAACAGATGAAACAGATCTTGTCTCTGTCTTGGGGCAGAGGAGTGCCTAAGTGTTTGGAATATGTTGAGCTTCCTCCCTAACCTAACAAAGCAAAAATTTTAAATGAGCACTGTAGGGCAGGGAGGTAACCAAGTTTGCTTTTAGTTTTGTTATTCTGAAACCAAAGTGAAGAGCAACGATTTGTTATGAATGGTAAAACATTGATTCTTTTAGGTACAGTATAATGCCTTGTTTATCCAAGTAGTATCAGATTTGGATAGTAGAAGCTAATTTTACAGATCACTGAACCCTCACTCTGTCCTTTAAGCACTAGCTTTTTTTATTTTGTTTTAACCACTTTAGATAGAAACCTTGCTAAAATCTATTACACACTTCTCTGCTTTCTAAAGCTGAGTATTCAAAATGTAATTTAACCTTTTCTTGATGAGTAGTAGTCATCATTATGAACATCAATTACTATGCTGTAATATAATGATATTTGCAGACCCACAATCATCCCAGGCTCTTCATTGTCAGCGATACCTTTTTCTTACTGTCATTTGCTTTCCTTCTCCCCTTTTCCCCCTCCCCCAACCTCCTTGGCAGCTATAGAAAACTATATAACTAACCTGTTACAATTGTGGGTAAAGTAAGCAGACTCTCTGGTCCCTCTGTCTTTAGGGTTCTCACACCTGTTCTAAAGAGTTGAAGGCCCCAGATGGATGAGATTGTTTTGCCCTAAACTATTTACATTTTAAAGCACCTATCCTGAAAGCCTTAATAAGCATCACTTAACTTTAATTTATAGTTACAATTCCCCAGGTATTCAAAAGGAACTTCCTCACCTTATTATTTAAATAATTGTTGTTGTTGTAAGAATAGTGAGGAATTTTCGTGTACTATTCCATAATCTTTCTTCTACCGATTATCTTACAGTCACACCGTAACTCAATTGATGGCCTTTGGGCCCTTACTTGCTTACAGAGGGAGGGCAGCTTATCTTGTGGTACGATCTTGGCACTTTGTTTGGCTGGTCCACAGGCCACCTCCACACACTGTTAAGTCCTTCACTGGGTCTAGATTCAGAACCTTTGAATTGAGTGAAACCTGGCCCAGTTTGTGGCACAGAGATGACTTTCCAGAGCCCTCTGGTCACTGTAGTAGGATTAAAGCAGAGGGAAACCAGACTCTTCAATTGACCTAATATTAGAATATAGCACATTTGTCAGAAATAAGAATTCAAGTGAATGTTGCATTATCTTGAATTTCACGATGAAAAGTGTAACTTAGGCCTCTCATCATATGAATTTGGACATTCTGTGCGTGTGAATTTGTTTCTATATTTTATCCATTTTGACCCAGTGTAGGATTCTTTAGTTGAAAGCCAATGCTTTTTTGAATTTAGCATTTCCTTCAGCCATTTCAAAAATGATATGAAGTTATATAAGTCCACATATCAACAAACTGAGAGGTTTACCCCAGTGTAGCTTGTGATCGATTATGTTAAATAAAATGTTTAAGTTAACTTGTGATTTGTCTTGCAGATCTTTCCTTTTTCATTGATTTGAAAAAGAAAAAAAATTAAACCTAAACTGAACAGGTTCTCTTGTAGAATTTTTGCAGAAAAGAAGACTAGCATATGGGATCTAATAGGAAATTGGGTTTCAGGTACTGTGGTTAGATAATGGGATATTGCTCTAGTGTTTCTAAATAACTTTGTAATTGGAAATGCCATTACATCTGTCTGCTGTGAATCCATATGTATACAAGATAAATTATTTACATATGTCTATCTTGTGTTCTTTGTTCCAAATCCAGGCAACAAAGAAAGTGAAGACAGCAAAAATGATGGTCATCTTAAAATAGTAAAATATAATTTTAAGGCATATAATTTTAAGTGAATATAATAAAATAGTTTGATTGTCACAAAATTTCAAGTTATTTTGTAAATGGGGCAGTGAATGACAATGTTCAAGGCAATGAACATTCGTTTTTTGTTTGGGGTTTTCTTTTTAGCAAATGTAAACTTCTTTTCATTAAATGTTTTTCTTCATAACCTAAAAACTTTTTGTGTGAATTCACTGAATTTACTTACTCATGGTTTTGTGGTAAATAAATTATACACAGAATGTATACACATGCATTTTTATGGCAGTCCCAATGTTTCTCCACCTTGCAATGATTATTTTATGAAACATAATCTATCTTATCTTGTTTCATTTGTTTTCTCTCTACCAAACGGCAAAAACTGTTGGGGGGGGAAGTTGTTTTTTTTTTCCAAACACTGGCTTTTTCAGATTTCACTGTAGTAAGTTTTGTTTAGACAGTGTCCAATTTTGAAAATTCTAGAATGTCGACAACACGTGGGCCTGCCATTTGAAACTCAGAGATTCGACCTTGTTCCAACTCTTTTAAGGCCTAACTTGGCTCATTTGGCTGTTGGATATTTGAAGGCTTAATGTAGCAGTATTCATAAGCAAAAACTGCTTTGGGAGGGGAGAAGGGGAGGAGTTTCCATTTTCACAGAAGCCAGCCTTGGGCAAGATTCTTATGATTATAGAGGATTGTATGGGATATGAAATTAAAGGCTTGAATAGAAAAAAGGTAGATTACTGGTACCTTGAGCCATCCAAAGACTGTAGCAGGGTTCTTGTGGATGTTGACTGACTGACTGCATCTTTCCAGTGAAAGGCGGGAGGAATAATGGCTTCTTACCCTGGAATCAGAATGCTCAATCCTTCATTTTATCATAGAAGTGTATCTTCTTCTCATCATGCCTTTTGGAACCACAGAGTAACAGAAGAACCCAGGTTTATCTTGAGCGTATTATTGAGCGTACGTAACTAAAGCCAGTCAATCAACTTGTGCCAGGGATTGCTTAGCCCTGGGAACTTAAAATTTGGAGGCCAAAGTCTGGCCCTGCCTACAAGGAGCTCCCAGTCTAAATGACTGGAATTTAGTTGAAGCCTAGGAGGCCAGTAGTGAGAGAGAACATTCCAGGTATGTGGGGGGTAGAGGGGAGGAGACAGCAGGTACCCAGAGCTGAGATGGGCATTCAGAGAGGAAGGAAGGGTGTCCCCAAACCCAGAAGAGAGTGATCTCTGTAGCGTCAACAGCTCCTGAGAGGTCAAGGAGAATGAGGCTTGTGAAAGGCCCAGTTATTCCCCTATCTCTGCATACCTACAGAAATATCTTGTCTCTCAAATCGTCTACTTTTCCCCTCCTATGACATTCACAGATGCCTCATCCCTTCCCACATCATTTAAGCAGTGGTCCCAAGATCTATGTTCTAGGGCACTGCCGTATAGGGCGTTTGGGATACAAGGAATAATCCCAATATTTGAGGAGCTTACATGCTAATGGGGGATACGGGTGTGTAAAACTGCACATAGCGTAAATATAAAACTGATGATCCCATGGAAATGCATTCAAGGTCGTTTTAGAGGAATGGTACCAGCAGCTGGGGACTATCAGGAAAGGCTTCATGCCAAGATGGGAGGAATGAGGATAAGGGAGGTGGTGGGCAGTAAGCAGCAAGGCACACTTGTTTGGCTGACTTACCACGTGCTGGAGGGTCAGTAATGGCCAATGAGGTGGTGAAGGGTTTTAAAGCCTTAAAGAGTTTGTCTGTAACCCTAGATGTTAATAGGTGACCACTGTAGTAGGGGACGTAAAGGAGTCACATCAGGTCTGTGCATAAGAAAAAATACTTTTGGAGAAATTTATACAATGACAACACAGGAAACCACTTGAAAAGTCTTTATAACCAGTGATAAACTGAGAGAACACAGGTAAAACTGGCCACTCACCTGACAGATGATGAACTTATGGGGTGCTAGAGGGCACCATAGTGCACAGTGCAGGGCTTGGAGTCAGGAAAACTCCCCTTCCTGAGGTCCAAATCTGGCCTGAGACACTAGCTGTGTGACCCTGGGCACTTAAAGTCACTTAACCCTGTTTGCCTCAGTTTCCTCATCTGTAAAATGGACATAAGAATGAAAGTCACCCTCAGGAAGAAGATCAAATGAAATCATATTGTGAGGTTCTTGGCACAGTGTCTGAGCACATAGAAGGCTCTGGATAAATGCTTATTTTCTTCTTTCTTTCTGGTAACTCTTTCAAAAACAGCAAACAGAACTAGTCCGGGAGATATTTTGCTCTATTATGTTGGTTCCCTAGATCTCCTCACTGATCATAAGTAGTGATGACAACAGTAAAAACTGTTTCCTTTCATAGAGTATTTTGAAAGCATTGCACTTTTCAAAGTGGTTTTGCATTTATTATGTTATTAGACCATTAGAGCAATGCTGTGAAGAAGGTAGTTCGAGTATTCTTATTCCCTTTTTACAGATTAGGAAAAGTGTGATACAAAGAACTAAGTAATTTGTTTAAGGCAGAAAAGACAGATCCTGGACTCAAGACTCCTGGCTCCCAGCCCAGTGAATTTTGCTACTTACTTTGCTCTGGGTCTCTGAGTCTTCATCCCTAAAATTAGAGGATTAGATTAGATGTTCTCTAAGATCTTTTCCAGCTCTAAAAATGAAGACTCTACGAATGCTTTATGGAAAGACCATGGTCTTGTAGCCTCAAAGAAGAGACTATGACCATATTTATATAGAGAAGAAAAGATAGCCTTCTTCTTTAACCTTAAAATTAGCAGTAGAATGACTGTGAAATCACTCGCTTTGAAATTCAGGGATTTCAAGTATTTATTGGCATGTTTAGGACACTTATGAAGCTATTAAGAACTTGGAAAATGAAGACATTTTTCTCTTAGAGCAACAGAAAGATGGGCAGAAGAGCTGGGAAGAATGTCCACCTGATTTGCTTCACAAGGAAGAGCAAACGACTACAAGAGACCAATCCCCATTCACCCGGAACTTGCAAACTAAAGTTCCCAGCCCCAGTACTAGAGTTTCATCAATCAACTTACTAGCTTTCTGAGCAACACCCTTAACACCATACCAAACACAGAGGAAGCTGTGATGGAAAGGATACAAGAAATCAGTACTAATGATTTGGATAGATGTGAGTATGTTGGCAGAAAAGTTGTCACTTAAGAATTGTCTGCTCATATGGTTTACATTCCTAATATAGAAAATGCTTGTGCCTCATTTCAAATTAAAAATCCGTTTCCATTGTTGAGATTTTGCAATAGTAAGGCAAGAGAAGGTGTAAAAAGTCTATGAAGTTAATTGTTCCATTTCTCATAGCAAAATATTTCCAGTTGTTAAAATCCAATAATGCTGCTTATATCACTTCAGAAGGAGATCTCCCAAACTCACTTGGAAGTATATCTAGTGAATATGTGATGGTTGTCAAACTCTTTCCCCCCCAGAACTGATATAAAACCAAAAAGGTATCAATAAGGCTCATTTAAAAAGCGCAATCACTTGTTCAATTTCTGCAGAACAGTTTAACAACAGCCTCATATAGAAAATTCATAATCCTGAAATCAGTGTAGTGAAAACTGTCTCTTCATCTCTTTGTCGACCTCCAGTTCACACAAATATTGATGTTTATCTTGGATTGAATATGTTTTGCAGAGGCCTTCCATAGAAGTCTTGTTTTTGCCTAGTAGTCTAGCTTTTTCTCGTTGGGCAAGTTTCTCTAGTGTCCTGAAAATTTAGTAGACTGTTACATTATTAAGTTTAAGCGGAAGTGTTTAATTTTCATATATGAGCCTCCCTTCTCTCCTCTCCATTTCAGCTGATGATATACACTGCAGATTTCCTGGGGGAAAAGTTCCCAGCATAATGAAATCCATATTTTGACTATAATACTTGGATTCACATGTTTGCTTGGAAAGGAAAGAGCAAACATGGGATATAGGGACAAATCTCACTTTTGTAGTTTCCTTGCAGAGAACTGATGTCCTTCAGTAAGAGATCCAGTTGCTAACTCATCAGGTGGAGCAGCTGCATCAGCTTTATCAAGAGGCTGTGTGTGACTCATCCCAACTGAAGAAAATCTTCTGGAGCAGAAGAAGTCCACGAAGCTTTCAGAAGGGAAAA